CATGGTATTCAATGGGTAAGTTGAGGTGATGGTTTTACAGAGGGGAATGAGGAGTGAAATTGTCGGTGGGAGGGATCAGTGGCTCGTTTATCAACCCTGAGAGGATTCTCTGTGTCTGTCTCGTTGGATGAATTTATCGGTTTTATAATTAAGCAAAGCCGGTACTCGGGTGTAATTCTTGTTTAATTTATATCGCTCATTTCGCTGGACTCATTGATTAAATGTTTCCGAAGGGATGACCTTTTTATTTTTAGAGGAAACATCCCGTTCACGACTTTTGATTCATGTCATCATGTATTTGTTTAGGACATTTCTGAATTATCGTTCATTGAGTAATTAGGGTATTTTTTAATTATTAGAGAAGACGAATTAATTTTACACATTTAAAAATTCTTTTTAGCTAGTTTTCTTACAGTTTTTGAATTTTGAAAAAAAATTGATAGAATTCCATTTTAAAATCGACAATTTCCGCTGTGAAATATTTTTTTTCGTAATCATAACAAATTTATTTATATTCTATTAGTTTAGTTATTGCTATTTAATTCCCAGATTTGATCATTTCTAAAAAAAAAAAAATTTTTTTATAAGAATTTTTAAACCTTATAGGTTTAATTTGCATACAAATGGTAGAGTACAAAATTTGGATTCTTAGAACCTAGGTTACATTGATTTTAGATTCTTATCGAATATTGATCTAGAAATTTATTAATGGATTTTTGTCGAGTCTAGCCAAAAATTCTCCAGCAGAGTACGGTTGAAAAAATTTTCGGTCGGATAATTTTTAAACAATTACACTCCCACAGGGACCAGATTTAAAAATATATGTATAAAAAGGAAAAAAAATCGATATTTTTTTATCGATTCCGAATGAATTTATGGAGTGAATGAGATCTCAATTTCAGGAGTTACTGCAATTCTTCCATTAAAATCCTCCAGTTAGCCTGCAGCGGAATAATACAACTCGTTTCAGTAATTATAAATCTCCCGCGTGGAAATGGGAATTCTCGCATTCTCACCATTTTATATCTCTCCCTCCTCTTAAAAGAAGCAGTTGAAAAACCTCAAAAAACGGCATCGCTTAATTTCCGATTTCAGGAGAGTAATCCCAGGACTTTGGAGTTTCCAATTACAATTGCAATCCGCAACGAAAACCGCGATAATTATTTTCAGCGCTCCTCCCTGTGTCCCACGTTCCTGACTTTTTTTTTCGCTTCATCCGCTTATTCTACTTCTCGGCAATGAAGGAAAATTTTTTTCTCCACTTTTTCTCTCTCATTTTCATCCCTTTCTATGGCTTTTTGGGAGTTTCCCCAGTGGAAGGCAATGGGGAATCGCAGGCGAGTCCGTGGAAATATGGACGGTAACAATGACTGACTTTTACGTACGCTCTATTTTTCTGTTATGATTTTTTTTCTTTTCTGTTCTTTTTCCAGAATTCTCCAGAGCGAGAAAAAATATACAGTGGCATGTTATACGTTGGTTCTATACATTTGGAATTCAAGGCACACGGAGGGAAGAGTAGTGGGCCCCTGAGGTAATTCAGAAAGTTGTCGGTAGGAAAAATACTCCCGCTGCTCAGAAAAGCTTAAATAATCGTAAATAACTTTTCATCATTTGTGAAGTTTTTTATAAGCATTACATCTTCATTATTCTGGCGGCATTTGCATACTGAAATTTTCCAGAATAAATTCGATTATGCGGAGGGTGAAATGACCTTGAAATGTAAATTAATGCACCTAACAACTTATTATATTTTTAGATTGGCTCAGTGGTTTTTTCTCATTCAATAATCAAATATTTAATCATTTTTCAGTGTAAATAATTGACGAGTAAAAATTTTTAAAAATGAGAAAATTTTTTTCGATATATTTCCTCACATAACCTCGAAATCTTCAATATCTCATTCATTCATTTTCTATTAATTTTCAATTTCCAAAAAGAAAATTATATAAAATCCTCCACAAATTTCTTGAAATATTTTTCCATTTCGGTTTTTCTCATTATTGACACATATATTTCGCATATAAAGTGCTTTCCATCCGGGACTTTCGAGGGGAATTTTATAATCTCGAAGTGTGGAGCCCTGAAAGTACCTATTTCGTTATCAACACCCCTTAACTGCCCTCGAATTCCATCCCCTCGTATTTCGCTCATGTTTATCACATGCAGATAACCGGGTTGTGAGTGGCCCTCTAGAGTGAGAAAGTTGTAACAACTGAGACTGGGATTCCCCATCCAATATAAAGGGAGTACCACAGGTCCGATCGTTTCCCGCGTAATTACGAGGTTGTTACTGACACAAGTTTTCCCTCCCTCACTCGTATCTGTATCCTTTCCCTCTCAATTCCCTGTATCTCTATTTTACGTTATGCACCAAAGGTCTCTTTGGTCTACCAGATTTGCCTTCGCTACCGCATGTTGCTTTTCTTGCACAAATATCACCAGAGATTCAGAGTGGATAGGTTGAAGGGTTGAAGTGACATCGAATTGTCCCGCACTTCTGCTTGCGTATTCTGTTAAATGTCATGTTGGATAAACTCTATTTCACTCCCTTTCTCTCGGATGGTACGGTCTGCAAGTCCTTTGCCCCAGTGGATATCCGATTCATGGAGCTTTGAATTTCCTGTGGAGTGTTTTCATCTGACTCAGGAAATCTTCACATCAATTCATCAGCACTTTGTCAACACACATTCATCAACATTCCGTTCACCAATTATTCGTCCATCGAAATCGGGGGAGGTCATACCAGTTGTCAGCCGATCACGAACATTGACAATGGGAAGACGATGACAAAATTTTCATCTCCAAACATAAACCGGGAGATCCACTCACTCAATCTGAAAGTGTACACAGGTAGAGTGAATTTATCCACTATTCGAAATGGTTCCAAGTTAGCTTGTTTGAACAGGTTTGCAGCCTCTCAAGAAGGGGTTGTGGTACAGTGAGGGGTTGCTATGACGATCACACACCATCGAATTATACGTAAATTTTCCCAGCGAAATGCCTGAAAATTCTCGTCTGCAGTTCGACCCCGTGCAGACTGAAAGTCATCATTTCCGCCTGCAACGGCTGAATAAATTCTCCACATTATAACGTCTGAGTACCTCCCGCACATTTAACTGACAACAAATATGCTGCAGAGTTGTTTGGAACGAATACAAACTGAGTTTGATAAACGCTGAAAGGCAACAGCTCGTCTGCATGTGCCATATGCCAGTATGATTGCATCAAAGTTTTGGAATTCTCACTGTGTGCGTGCGAGGCAGCAGATCCCGAGGAGATATGATTTTTGGTAATGAGGGGTAACTGAATTGGGGTGTGTACACCAAAGGTGTAATTATTTCTGCTTAGACCAAGAGTTTTAATGATAGGAATCGAAGTATTTGTCCTAGGAGTGATAGCAAACTAGCTAATCGTTCTGTATTTATCTTGTCGCGTGATACTTTGGTATTTTATCCGACTACATCTGATGGGTTTAATGAAAGTCTTTTATCAGATGTTTTGGATTATTCAAACGTTTCGGAGGGCGGCGGCTCATTCGGTGCCTCTGTTTTTTACAGAGGGCTCATGAATTTTGGAATACACCGGACGTAATGTGAGCGCTTTTGGGATACATAAGACAGGTTATAGTTTGGGCGGGAGGAAGACGGTGGGGAAATAGAGGGGAAATTTTCCAAATGGTGCGGTGTATTAAATGTCATATCTCCCATACTAATTGTTTCCGGATAAAAAGGTGATCAGATCCTTAATTAGATGATGGAAACCCATCCAATCAAATAAAAAACATCCAGAATGGTTTGGTGGACCTAAACTAGATATTTACCTCCCCCCGGATTAAAAATTTTCAATTCCCGGTGATATCGCATGAGACAAAAGATTTGAAATCCATCGAGGTAGACAAATCCCGGCAATTAATCTCGTATACGTATACCTCATAAGCCCCATATCTCGTTTGACCCGGTGCAATAAAATAGAGTCGGGATTAAAAGATTACGTTCTCCAATATCGGTATACCCTGTAGGCCACAGAAGTAAGTAAGTCTCCACTGGGACTTGGCCGCAATCCTTTACGTGACTCTCACGTTTTTCCCCGTTGGAAAAATTCATTCGTCCCCATCCTTATTTCCGTCGAAACCCTCGCTGCAATGTTTTCGCATTACGAAACAAACTGCCCTGACCCCTATCTCCCCTGTCACCCACTATTTCACCTGGCCTCTCTTTTATATCCTTTTTCCACGTTCTATGGAAACTCCAGAATGTCTTTCCACTGCTATACGACCCTGTTTGCCAATTAATTAGTGTCGGAGAGTAACCGAGTAAGTGTCGCACCATATCAACCACCAGCACAATTATTTCTCCGTATTTCCACCGTTAAAAATCATTTGTCAAATGGAGTAACTTAAGCGTGAAATAGGCGAGAGCAAAAAGAAACAGTGCCCGCAATGAAATCCTCTGGGAAAAATATCTTGGAGCAATAATCCTGAGAAAAATCAACCTCTGAATTATTTATTTCAAATCAAATCGGTAATTGATTAATTCTCCCCGGACAAATCGTCTTGAGATATTAAAAATGTCATGGACAATTCTGGAATTGTTTGGATTTTGATTCGATTTCATTGACAATTTTAATATTATTATTGTGGAAATATTTTCCATTTTCGTACATTTCCGTTTCTCAGAATTTTTCGTGGAATTCGTTGTGGGTTAGATCAAATTAATAATGATGTAACCCTCAATTTAACATCAACAATGACAACAGTAATATTAATCTCCTGGAAAGTGTCTGAATTATCTGAATCATCGGTACGGAATTCTGTTGCTAAGCCGAGATTAAAATAATGCACCTGTTAGGCTGGTGGAGAATAAATATATTATATTCTTAAAATGAAGAAATACTTTTTGAGGATCGACTCGAGCAGGGAATCGTACTTATACATTACCGTAACAGCTTTGTATCCAATTACTCCGGCAAAAAAATTTTCCACTTGAAAAACAGGTATTTTCCTTTTTCGTAGTTCATTTTCCTCCCTCTGGACACGGGTCTAGCTAACACGAGTTTAGCTGTGTTGTTTCTCTGGCTTTTTTCTGTTCAGAAAGTAGGATTTCCATTATCGTGGTTAAACGAAAAGCCGTGAAAGGAAAGGGTCAACGAATCGGCCATCGACTAGAAAAGTTCAACCGACCGAACGAAAAAGAGGGAATGAGAATAGACTATTTCCCGTCGACAGCAGCTAATTGATTTTTCTGGAAGACAATGAGCGTTTGTGTCCACCAGGAAATTTCGAAATGGATATATTTAAATTGAAGATTAATATTTAAAAAGTTGATGACCCGTGCTTACCCCGGGGCACTGATAAAAATGACATTAATAATAATTAGTATTATAAATAAAAGATGAATTACGTGGTTTCGTGATTTTTTGTGAAGTTCCCAGCAAATCCTTCGTCTTTCTTCGAATATCGATGAGGGACGGCGGTGCTCGATATACACAAGAAAAGTGAAATGAAGAAATGGCTAGGAGTCGGATAGTTCAGTTGGGAGAGCACCCGATGATACCATTAAGGTTTTACTCAAATTAATAAATAAACAAATCTTCCGAGAATACAGAAAAGATAAATTCTAGCTGCAAACAAAAGTATAGCGAAGTGGAATCAGAAGGTGCTCGAAAAAAACACGATGAGTTCAGTAAAAATCATAAACTTCCCCAAATATATCGCAATTTCGACTGGACTCGTGGCATTTTTTATGACACCGTCGTAGTAAATTCTGCAGTCACCATTTTTCTCAATGCGACATAAGAACTTCATCCATATTCATAAATTTTTACAATACAAGCATGTGATGCAATCATCAAAAGATATAATGTGGTTGTTGGTTTGTCTTTCAAGGGCGCTTGTTGAGGTTAGTTAAATCACACATTAAATGCGGACCCGGTTTAGAACCAAGCGGACGACGTATGGTCATCATTCCGACCAGAGCTTTATTGCAAACTATTGACCCGCCAACAGTTGTCTGTAATGAAAAAAAAACCGAAAATTTAGTCGCCAAAATGAAATTAATTAGTGGAAGCAATTCATTTGTATTAATACGGGCCCATGGTTTAGCTGGGCCCATTCATACTTACACCGGGGTGACTTGTAGTCGACGTAATATCGTCGAAACAAGCCTGCCCCCTAGGAACATTTTTTGTTACTATTCTATCTCGACACGATTGTGGATCGAAAATCGCGACAGGCGTCGTGTATATCACGCCAGACGTCTCGTCCAATCCCACGTACGTACATATTGGGTAAGAATAATCTATCGAAGGACTTATTGCTATTGGGCTAATCAAGTCACTACTCACGATCTCTCCCGGCAGCTGAAAAGTGAAAAAAAAAACAGTAGAAGTGATAGTTTCCGCTGTGAAAATGAAGATACTAAAGTTTTCTAGATCTTTCTGTAAATTATTTTCTGAAAAATGAATAATATTATTATACATATTAATTTTTAAATATTAATTTTCTTCCATTAATATTGTAGAAAGTGACTCATATGGTATTGGAACCTCGTCACATTGAATGAATTGATTCCTTCAAGACAAAATTAGTAAGTCTTCATGCTTGGGTAGGAATATAAATTTTTTAATTCATATAAATTCGGTTCCACTCGAATCAATGTGTAATCTCAAAACCTCGCTCCAATAGCTCAAACCTCTCGGGCATTTAATATTACGAGACCAACTGTGCACTCTTTTTTTTATTACATTTTTTTTCCTATTACCATATTTTGTTATTTTCATGGTTTGATAGGCACCTCTTCGTCTTATCCTTCTAGCCTCTCCTATTATCCTCTCATTATTTTTGCGGTTTCATGAGCCGACTTTTCTTACTGCACCCATTTGGCTTGTACTGAGGGAAACCATGGAACACCTTCCTACTGCGCACTCCGTGCGCTGAATTTGAATTTGGCGGTTCGACCTGACCAATGAGACATCCGTCCTACGCGTTTCGAGATATTTCGACTCGGGCGACCCTCATTTTTCTGCTTCTACTTTCATAACGAGAATCCAGGGCCCATGTAGGGCTTACCGAACTTAGCAACACGACTAAGCATTGGGCGAAGGTCGGTCGCCCTATCATCGGGGCCCCGATTATTTTTAGAGATGCTTGAATTGCTTACCTTAATCTTCATAAGACTATGGATTGTGTCGGCATAAAACACATAAGTTCGGATTACTTCAATGGCGCAATCCTCTAGTGATGTGCATCCCAATTTGACGTCGCAGAATTCATTTTTGGTGCTGTACAAATGTCTGTGAGGTCCTAAAATAGTATTCGGAGTAATCAGGGCCCCAATATTAGGCACCCCAAAACGAGGTTCAATAACTGCAATAAAAGGAACCTCTCCCGGGGCAACCGGTACTTTCCAGTCCATGCTCTTCACCTCTAAAAATAGTTTGTCATGGTTACGCGATAGAAAAACTTTTATAGAAATAATTATTGATGTAACTTGATCATTTGTAAAAGTCGGAGACATCATCAGTGGCATAAATTTGAATGTTCGTTTTATGTTGTCAATTTTTCGGTCTTGATTTTGACTATTAATTGTTTAGATAAATATGCATTAATTATGTTTGATGTGACAGGAAACAAAGTGCATCCATATGATAACTGTTAATCAGTTCTTACCTGGAAGAATTGCTACAGTTGCCAATAATAATATTGTAAATCCTGACGCCATGGTGAATCTGTAACGCTGTTTTACAGACGGTCGACTCAACGATTTTACCGGCTAGAAAAAAGCCACTGGAAAATTTTAAACTTTCGCGTTACGGCATTACACGGAGAGAAAAATACCGAAAGAATTATATGACTAGTCACGTAATCGTGGGCTGTAAAATCATTTCAATAACTTTTATCCGAAGTTCTGTGTAAAAATGATGAAAAATTTTTATCGTTTTCTTCGAAAAAGTGACGGAACTGCGGCGCATTTTTTCCCGGTACATTGAAATTTATCGAATTTCAACCATAAACCACGTCAGATCACGTCGATCGAAAGAAAGCTTTTCGATTTAATGTAAATTTTACGAAGCGCAGATCAGGAAGAATTTTTTATGACTAGTCACGTACTCGCGGGCTACAAAATCATTTCATTAACTGTTATCTGAAGTTCTCTGAAGGCAAGCGGTATAATCCGAGAAGTCAAAAATTATCTATCGCACGAGTTGCGAACAATATTTTACGTCAGTGCGGTTGATAAAACGCGTGTCTACCCTCGCTTCGCTAAATTTCAAATTCATTTTCGGCTAAAATGACCTAAAATGGCTTTATATTGCCACGGCAAAAAAGTGACTCTGACTCATGCGCTTTATAATCCTCACCGGCTTCGGAATTATTCCTGTACTTTTTCCGGCATATTTCTGTCCGTGGAGTAGACATTTTAGCTTTGTGGTATTTTGACGGAAATATTATTGTCGGGGGTATTTTCGCGAAGAGATTGCGTAATCAATATGACAATTATTATCAGCTGTTAAAAATCGTCATACCGATCAGAGAATAATCATATAAAATATGTCCTTACATAACTTACTCTAATTTTTTTAATATTATTTTTTAAGATTTTTCATATTATATATTTCTACTGCACTCACTTTTCTATGGAACATAGGAGTGACATGGGAAACCACAGGAAAAACCATGTCGGTACAGGCGGTTTCTCTATTAGCAACCTCCCGCTCATCGGTGTCTGTTGAAAAATTCGATTCAGCGGGGACTCGAACTCACAACTTTCAGAACACTAGGCTCGCACCTAGCCACTGAGCTATCGACGTCGGTCCCTACTCTATTTATATTATATTCTATTGTAGGTGATGTAAGGTCATATAAGGTCACCTAGTCGAGGTGACCGAAAAAATAATTTTTCCCCAAAAATCTGTACATTTTTACGGCTTTCCTAAATGAACGGCCTGCAAAATTATTGGTGGGAATTATCCCTTCGAGCCTAGACACCAAAATAATTATAATTACCCCCAACGCAGGGTACAACAGGAGTCAAAACTATAAAACAAATTCACCGTGAGAATTATTGAAATTCTGCAAAGCAAGTGAAATTTCCAAGGGCAATTTCGTCGAACGTGCACAGAGACTGAAATGAAAATCAATTCCCTGCATGCATCACAAATGGATTCTGTGGAAGTGAGACAGAACTATTACTGAATTGTCCAACAGGCTTATTGCTTATCTGCGGAGAAAGATAAAACATAGATGGTGAATTGAAATGTTTCGGTGTGATAATCATGTACGCACTTGATGCGACAAAGGTTTTTGAATGTGTCGTCGTGGACAGAGATTTAATGAAAGGATAGGGTGTGGCTGTTGTCCCCTATCGACGTGAATTTGTATGAGTCGACTTGAACTGATGAACAACGAGGAGACAGGTTTTGAGCAAAGTGAGAAGATTCAAACCTCTTTACCCTCCCCCACACACTCTTTACATCTACACTCATACCCTGTACTGCATTAGCACCGAGGGGGAAAACAACCCTTGGTGTCTCTCAAGTACAGGCAAGTTAATAATTAAACCGTTAAACGCCTCCGTAAAGTGACTCTGAGAATTACAATTCCCATTTTTGCCTTTTTTTTTTTTAAATGGCTGACTGGAAAATTCTGTGCTATTTTTTAGTTCAATTATCCGGTCGACTTGTAGTAATTAAATGCGACGTAAGAGACACGTGAGTTACGATTATAAACTCATGAATTACGAAGTAAATCGAACTACAATTGCCGAATCAAAAGTGCAAATTACGATTTTCAGCTATAATCCAGAAGTTTAAGCTTTAATTCATCGTTTATATTAAGTAATCATAATTTACGTTTTTACGTCTCAACTTAGTAATTGTTAATGGTGAGTTCAAATTTCATAATTTCGAAGTCTAATTCTGTCAATTACGAACAGTTTAAAGTTTTCAATTTTGAAATTACAGTTTACCGTTTAAATCTCATATTCTACATTCCAAACGTTTTACGAGATTAAAATGATAAATTACGGATTTGAAGTAATTTACCAATTTGTAATCGTAATTTACATTTTAAACCTATTACAAGTTTGAAATAGTAAATTACGCATTGGAAATGATAATTCCAAAATTACGATTCGAAACTCATGAATTCAATGTGCAATATTCTCCATTTTGAAATCGTAATTTATTGTAAATTGAAAGTTGTTATAATAATTAATGTAAACGGACGTTTAATTTTTTTAATGCAAACTGAAAAGTTTCTCAGAATAGAATTTTTTCCACTCGAATAAATTTCTCCATTCAATTTAAATGAAAAATTAAAATGGCTCTGAAACATCCGCGCATTTAATGACATCGGATTAATTTTTCTCCACCGGTTCGTTCACTGGAGGATTGAAGATAATTCAATGCACATTTCACTCATTATCGCAAGTATTCCCACACATAAATCCCGTTAATCCATTCTGAAATTACGGAGGGAGTGCAGTTGATTTGACACAGAATCAGCAAAATTTCAGGACAATATTCCCACTCTGAGTGATTATTCTCGTGCATTCAAATATCATTCCGAATTTCAGTGTTTTTAAAAGGGAAATTTATGGTAACATTGCTATTTGTCAAATGATATTCTATCAGGGCATTTCTCCCCCTCGAGGCTTTGGCGATCGATATGGAGTTTGCGAATTATTAATAGGAGGGGGAATTGGAATAGATGGAGGCTCTTCTGAGAATTTCATTGAAATTTTCTCTTATACCCAGTCTTTCTTTTTTTTCACATTTAACACATCGCAAAATAGAAATAAAACATTTATTCTTCAATAATTTTACATTTCAATTGAATGAAAGGAAAAATGTAAAAATAAATATTTCATTTATTCCCTTTTTCTCCATTTCTCTTTTATTTATTTTTTATTTTTTAATCCAACCTTTTGATTTTTTTTTATGAAATTTTGGAAAATGAGAAGTTTTACAAAACACTGGATCGAACACAAAATTATCCAAATTTATTATTATATTATGTATAAATATTATTATTTATTTTTAATTTATCGGATAAAATCGTCGAATGATTATTCATTTCCTTTGAACTGAATTTGGAGTGCACAAGCACATGAAGCGATAAATATTTGATTGAATTATTATCGAACCCTTATAGGACAACCTCTTGGCCTCGAGGAAGAATCGCGTGTTTTGGAGCATCACGAAAGACCCGAGGAGAATTCCCTTCCATTAATTCGCCGTCCTGTAATTCTGTGTCACGCGACTTTCGTCTATTGGGATATTGGGACTATCGACGATCCCTGGAATTAAAAAGTAACCGTAAATAAAAAAAAAATAAACAACAAATTCCGAATGTAAATAAATAATCAATCAAACGATTAATTCACGCCTCAAACACAATTAAGATAATTGTAAAAAAAAAATCTCCGGAAATAACAAAATATAATATAAATAAATGACATATAAATAAATAACAAAAATGAAACAAAAAGATGAACAAAAAGAACGTCTAAAACAAATGATTTGAAATATTTCAACATTAAAAATGCAAGTTATTATTTTTTACAACTGCAAAATTTTCGATTGACAGCTGTTGATATAAAAATATTGTTGCAACATTAATTTGAAAAAATGGTGCCTTTGTTATTGTCAAAAGTCGAAGAAATATGAGGGGAATGTGAATGAAAATGTTGGAAATATCTGGAGGATACCTCCAGTGAATTCCAGAAGTTCCGCCCTTGAGTCCCTCGACATGAGCCATCAAAGACGATTGGATTTAATTTCTCCAGGCAACTCCTGAAATGGAGGAGTAAAACGAATTGAAATCAAATCAAAGCCTAAACTCGTAACTTTTCGTTCTGGTACCTCTGAGGGATGTCCAGGAAGTGAGTGTTGCGTGAATGGAGGAAAAACCAATGGCATTCCAGTACATCCACACGTATACCTCGCTAAAACCACCAAAAATCCACCCCTTCGTCCCTGTCAACTGGATTTTTTACGCTTTTTACTTTATCACCCCCATTTTTTTTTTCCAACCCCTGGCTTTTCCTGTCCGTCGCAAGTGGCACCGACCACCAGCCAATTGCCCATCTCCATTGTTCGTTCGAAATTAATTTCGAGGGTGAATGAAACTAGAATTTTCAAAAAAAAAAAAAACTCCAGCAAAACTTTTCTCATCAATTCACTGACATGAACAATTTCTTTTTTCAAGAATATTTACTGCACGCGAGTCAATTTGTAGATTCTAGCAGAATGAATGAAATTATGAAATCATTTGTAATTTTTATAAAGCTGGACTACTTGGGTTATTTGGATTACTAAAATTATCAAAATTACTAACAACAACAACAACTGGCCAAAAAAATTTGTTAAAACTGAAATATAAATCGTGGGACGGAATACAAAACGAAAAACAAATCGATTGACCATTTGGTTTACGTGATATAATTACTGAAAATTCATTTATATTATTTATATAATTGAAAATAGTTAATATGGAAAATATATAGTTATGATTTAGCTGTTCATGTACAGCGCAATCAATCAAGTGAGACTATATACCGTCAGAAGATTAAAAACTCAACCTTCTAAACTTTTTGCAGAAACAAGCGCGTGACATTTTTTTGTAAAACGTGCATTTACTAGTTATATACCTGTATATACTTTAGGGTATATATAAAAACTAGTCTTAAAGAATTATGAAAGAAGATTGAGATACTATAACAATGGCCGACATCAACCTTCATCATCTGGTTCTCGTTTTTCGTAAAAAAAAAATAAAGCGCACGGCGAATAAAAAAGGAGATGAAAAAAGAGGATTGGACATAATAAGATGATGAGATACTAATAACTTCCAAATGCATTAGTCATATTTTCACCTGAATAACGAGAGATATCCAAACGAAATGCTTTTGCTTGCTCTGAGCGTTTGCTCAATATCCACTCTCGGATTCGTCAGTAATAGCAGAAAAATGTTTACCCGAGCAGACAAAAAAGATTAAAAAAAATACTCACCCCACACTTTTTAGTTGCCACTCGCTCCGTTTTTCGACTTCCGCCTCTCGTCGAACAACCGTTCAACCCCTATCACTTAAACGAGTGTACCCTCTTCTGGTAAAATACTCTCCTCCAGCCAACCAGATGAACAATCCTTCACTGCATCCAAATATTATGATTGCCTTGGGGCTTCCGGATTTTTATCAACCGGGAATAATTCTCGGAGGGAATGCACAGGTACAAATTCCTCTTTTTTAAAGTTCCTCTACTTTTTTTCTCTTACTAATACGAATGTAAATAAGTGGAGAATTGTTCTTATAGTTCATATCATGTCGTTGTCATTGCTAATAAATTAGGAATATTCTTCCGAAAGATTATTGTCCGCATCATCTTTCCCTTTTGTAACTAAGCTTCCATTTTTATTTCATTAAACTGAATGATTCGAGTCGTCGAGATTTTATAGAAAAAAAAAATGGAATTCCAAGAATTTAAAAGAACGATTAGTGCTATCACCTTCATCTTCGAACTCGATCAAGAGGATATCAGAAGTTTTTTCAGCCATCATTCAATTGAATCGGATGATTTTTTTTTTTTTTTGAGTTATCGTAGAGAACCCGAATTTCCGAGAAGGTAGGGTCCAATGAGATCTAGATTTGAAAAGAAAATATTCAACTAGGTAAAGATGAGGGTAAATGTATGGTTTAGGTCCACCAAAAAAAAAAATCATTGAAATATCAATTTCTTTGAATGAAAATCATTCTTATCCTCTCAGTCGTCAAAAATAATGACGAAAGAAAAAGGTGACCAGATCCTTAATCAAGTGACGAAAACCCATCCAACCAAATAAAGAACATCCAGAATGGTTTGGTGGAGCTAAACTAGACATTTACCCAGATGAGTTGATGTATGATAAAAAATCAGAAACTTAAATTTGATCGATTACAAAGCTTCCATTCAGCAAAAAAATCAATTAGGAAAGGCAGGGACATATGAAATGCGCAGAAAAATGAAATCATTGCGAATAGTATTATTATAATAGTACAACAAATAATTACAATTCCACGTAATTGTTCCTTGTAAATATTTAAACAATATAATATCACTTGGTACTTGTAGGGGTAACACGTTCAATGCACGTTTATTATTCATTCCTGCCGGCGATTTTTCCGGTAATTTTCAGAGGTAAATGTTTCGGGAGATTCTCTATAATTCGGCAATATTTTGCAAAACCGAAGACAACAATTCGACTGTCTAATAAATTAGACTCGAAACATCCCTATGAGTGGATGGAGGCCGGAGGTAGAACAGGCATTTAAACCCGATGTGGGTTTCAGCACACCCAACTGCTGATATAAATCCATCAATGGGCGGAAATTGGATATCGAGACAAGCCGATTGCACTGAAAATTAAATGTTCTCCCCCTGCCCTCCCCAAACCGCTCACTAATAACCAGAATAACCCGCATAATTCAAAAAGTTTCCATTTATCGCGTTAAAATTGTCCATAATTTTTCCAAAAAATGAATAACCCCATAAACCCGAGGTAAAAAATCTCTCACTCTCCGGCATGAAATCAGGAATATTCACGGAACACGCAGATTTCATAATTAAAACAAATTCTATGATCAAATATATCACCCGGTGGTTGTAAAAAATTTGAAGAAAAAAAAAAAATCCGTGCTCACCATCTCCGCAGGCTATTTACACGTAACACGTAAAGTAAGAGATGAAAAAAAGTAGTAGATTGAGGGGGTGGAAATGTGAGAAAGAGTAGTGAGAGGCCATCGCTGGTGACACGTAAAGTCTTGACTGGCATACGAGGAACAATCTACTCTCAAGTCACAAAAGTCTGATGGCGGACTCGTTTCAACTTTACGACTGCCTATCGTTCTCAACCCCTCCCCTCCCACCCCTCCCACCCT